CACGAATATGTCAGTGCAAGTTAGATATCGTCACTAGTTGTGCAATGACTGCACTCTCATATGCTGTGATTCTGTACGAAGAGTACATAACCCCAAGAGTGTGCAACTCCAAATATGGGGCCTGCGACGGCAGAACTTCACATCATGTGATGAACCCGTACACATTACTTGCACCCCTTAAATGATAGGTCTGGTTTCAACTCTCTTGTGGTCGCTTTGCACTATTTTCCAGCGTAACCTTTTGAACCATGTCACGAGATGTGAAGTTCTGCCGTTGCAGCACAGCATAGAGGTTGTGCAGGCAGTTGCACACTCTTGTGGGTTATGTACTCTTGTGCGTACTCCGTGCAGTGTACCATGCTTGTTGGTACAAACGAAGTGTTCACGCAAACGAGGCCAGTTTCTGGTGTGTTAGCTAACCAGTACCTGATGATATAGTTTCAGCACTAGTGTGCAGAGCTATGGTATCTTCAGGAAAAAGCTGCTGACACTTTGAACATCCTGTGCTGTGTGTGTTTGTGTGTGTCGTGTATGTGTGTGTTTATTTTTCATCCAACTGCTCAGAGTACGGGACCTGCTTGGCTATGGCCCAGAAGACTTACATGGAAAATCTGGCTACGATCTCTTCCACCGCGATGATCTGGCGGACCTGATGACTTTCCATCGGCAAGGTGAGTGATCATGCCTTCCTCGCCATACTGTGACTGGGCTGTCTCTCATCTCTTGAAACCATGACGTCCTTCGCCATACCCTCACACATTCATGAACACACCACTTCTTCTGCAAATTTTCCCCCTCGCGATTTGCAGCGAAATAAGCGCAATATCTACAGCATTAGAGATTTACCATAAACTAACGCAATGAACGCAATGCACACCGGCAACAGCAGCATAATAAAGCAACCATATATCCGTGTCTCAAAATGCGAAGACTCCAATGTAGCCATCTACTATATCCATACATCTTCACAACACTCTCCAAACGGTCTCTGGGCTACATCAATCACTAAAAGAAAAAGAGATATTAAAATTATTCGAATTTTCGGGCAAGGCCCATCTTCAGGAATGTAGTATCTCCCCCCCCCCCCCTTACACCTTTTTGGCCAAAATGTTCGTATCGTATTTGTCACTTACATAATCTTTGTTTTGTCTGCAGCAGTAACTACATTCCTGAAGATGGGCCTTGCCCGAAAATTCGAATAATTGTAATATCTTCCAAGTTTGAAGGTTGTTGGTTTGCGCCTTGGAGAAGTGTTGGAGCTAGGTGTCAGGTCGCCGAATGTATCAGTACTCCTTGTCAGTTTTGTGCCATTTTGTCGCACTTGCTGACTGTATAAGATCTGGTTACGTTGGTGGACAGTTTGTCATAACTCGTCACATTTTGTCCTTTTCCTTTCTTCATCATAACTATAATGGCTCACCATCCGAGTTCAATTTTAATATCTCTTTTTCTTTTAGTGTTGGAGCTAGGTGTCAGGTCGCCGAATGTCTCAGTACTCCTAGGCAGGCAGGCATAGTGGGATGGTCTAAGACCATGATTGAGCAACAGAGGGTACCAGGTTCAAGTCCTGCTTGGAAGCGGAAGGATTTTTTCCAGCCGTGCTGCGACCCACAGTAAATTGGGAACTCGTGGCCTGGCACGAGGAAAACATGGATGCAGTGAATGGGATTTTCGGTCTTTGACCACATGCTGGTGAGGTGATCTACTCACCTCCCACCGCTTTAGGAGCTGCATCTGCGCCTTGATCCTTGAAGGGTGGTGGCGTTCCTACGGATGCGGAAAACTCGGCCTCTATATAGAGAAACCGAGTCTCCCGCGAACCGTGAATTTTTTTCTTTTTTCTTTTCTTTTAGTGATTGGTGTAGCCCAGAGATCGTTTGGAGAGTGTTATGAAGATATATCTGTGTGTCCAAAATACTTCTTCTCATCAGTAATGTTCAAGTCCTGGTTGCGACACTTGATCTTTCTTTAGACATCTTCCCTTTTCATTTCCTTAAGCGTGCGTATTTTTGTGTCTTCTCCATACTAATACGCTCAGTGTTGGGTACCCGGAAAGAAGGACTGACGCCAATTTTCCGGATGAAATCAAGATCGGGTGAATGGCTCGCCTTCCAGGCACGCACATGCCCGATAGAGAACCCGGTGTCCAAGAACTTGGAGTACCTTATAGTTCGAAACTTCCTACTGGAGTAAGTGATTACTGTCATATAATATGTATGTGTGCGTTTGCATGTGCATCGAATTACTAATAACTATTTGTACAGCGACAGCTTGTGCCCGATACAATTTTGGTGATATATCGTATGCCTCAGTACAACCAGCAATGGTTGTGAATTGTTGACAGATGCATTAACCCTCTCATCACCATGTGGTGAGAGCTACTGTGATTATAATTTCCTTGACTGATAACAGTGACTTGAAATGATCATTATTGCCGAAAACATAGTAAATCATACACCATAATTATGTGGTCAGTTCATTCTTTTCTTCCCCTTCACATGCGACCTTCTTGTAGTATGGCTTGGCCCAAATTCTCCAGGCCATCATCGGTTAACACACAACGACGTCACATTCTGTAGCAGTTTTTGCCTGTTCTATCATCCACTATCTGCCTTCAAGCCTCAGTGGTATGCACTGACTCGTCAAAAGGAGGGGGGGGGGGGGGGAGTTGAGCATCCCACAACCGTAGGCAGTGCACACGCCTGAGCTGAGCTGTAGTAGGAGAGAGTGTGGTCACTAGATATGCTGTGCAGTGGAGTTTGTCGTTGCTAATGCTTGTCTTCGTGTTGGCAATGTACATGCCCACTAGTGTCCACCCAATATGATTTGAAGTTCACGTGCCGTGGCTAGGTGGATCCCGATCAGACCGTGACAGGTCGTGTAGTACATGTGCAACTAACACAATGTTATGTAGACCAATAGCGGTGGTGTGCTGGAGGACATGTGTCCCGATACTGCTCTTATTGATAATGAGCAGATGACGATAGGCTCAGTGCGCACACACACACACGTAGTTGACGGCAGTAGACGGCACTGGCGGAAGTGAGTTTGCTACGGCATCTCCATGCTCGCGCTCTCCATTATTATGGCCGGGATCTCGATGTTGTGCAGGCGCCGGTACCGTCCTCTCAGCCGCTCCATCCTGTCAGAGGCAAACTCTCGTTGCAAGCGTGACCCTATAGAATTCTTCTTGGAGTCTTCCCGGCGATCTAGTTTTTCCCTCTCGTGGTCCGTCTGCCGCTGAGAAATTTTCCTCTCATAGTCCTGTTGTCGGGCGGACATTTTCTTTCCGTGCGACCCTATCGAATCCTTCTTGGAGTCCTCCAGGCGATCTAGTTTTTCCTTCTCGTGATCCATCTGCCGCTGTGCCATTTGCCTCTCATAGTCCTGTTGTCGGGCGGACATTTTCTTTTCGTGTTCTTGTCGCAAGGTCTCGTAATAGTCTTTGAACTCGCCGCCTGATTTACGTCGGATACACAGTTCGCTGGTAGGTGGGCTGCTCGTGATGACGCGGCTTATTCCACTGGACGATCCCAGATAGGTGCCGCCGATATGATCCCAGAGTGTGAAATACTGACCATAGTTGTAGTTAGTGAGGCGATGGTGAATGTCATGGTGTTGCGAGTCCATGACGTGGTGATGCAGGTATTGCGGAACATTGTACCCACCGCTGTGGATAGCAATCGTCCAAACGTTGATCATCGAAAACATTATCAGGTACAGGATCTTGTTGAGTGGGACCAGGAAAACGAAGATATGGTATGGACTGCTCAACAGCACACTGTCGATGGCCGTTGTCGCTTGCCCGGAAAACGGTGTGGGCACTTTCCACACGTGATGGGGCTTGTGAAAGTGTGCGTAGAGTCTGGGAGTGTGCAGAAGCCGGTGGAGAAAGTAGATAGCCATATCGGTGAAGAAGACGTAGGTAGCTGCTTCGACTAGCGTCCACAGCCTCCAGAAGTGTCCATCGTGCAGTCGGCTGTACCCGCGCACCTCCACAAGGAATAGTATTGATGTTGCAAACACTATGAACGGCATCGTTGACAGTGTCCGCCGGATCTCGGAAACTATCTGCCTTGGCTTGAAGAGCGGATGTAGTGAGGAACACCGGTTGTACAGGAGCACATAACACACAGCTGCCACACTGAAATACATTACAAACGCGAACAGCAACGTCAATGTAAACAGAGTCAACAGCTGTCGCGGCCAATAGTCTTCAGTCCATGAAGTCGGATAGACCTGTTCAGTCAACCTTGGGTCAACAACAGCCAATAGGTAGTCCATTTGCAGTCCATTAGATGTGAGTGTTGTCGACACAGCGAAGAGTCGTTCTACGAGCCATGAGTTCCTGAGCCTAACTAAACTAACTAGAAAAACCCAGCCAGTATGTTTTGTTTGCCTTTTCGCGTCTTGGTGCACGTAGCGCCAGTGTGAAGTGTGGCTATCTTGCCTTGCCTAGCACTGCAGTGGATGCGAGAGTGAGAGAGAGTGAAAGTGAGAGAGAGAGTGAAAGTAGTATTAGTGAGAGTTCTCACTCGTACCTATGATCTATAAGCTTAGCTTGTTTATGCGGGATTTCTGCTCAGTGGTGCTACGCAAATGTAGAATTACACCACGCTGTAGTGTTGTGCGCTATGTCTCCATGTACTATTTGCCCGGTGTGTGACAAACCATGAAGCTATGAAAAGCATCATGTGTTTTAATTCCTGCTACCTGCTGAGCGTTGTGTAAAACTTGCGCTGTTAGCCAGTTGTAGATGTAGAGTAGTAAAGTGTGACATACGTTGGTCCATAGTACTGCTGCAGTGAATAGTCAACAACACGTGTCTGTTGTAGCCGCGAAGTTCCACAGTAATGGAAACCTGTTTGCTAGCATGGTGCACCGAAGGCGAAACAAGGTTCTGTTGTGGCTTTCCGGCGTGAGTTTCTCGCTAAATAGTAAATACGATTTCGCAGCTTACAGCTGATGTTGATGTACATACTCTGTGCATTGTGTTCTACTTTTGTTCGCAGTAATCACTTGCCTGAGGAGGTACTCGTGAACTCTCCCAAGAACTCGCACTTGATTTTGGCCGGCAGCGATAACAAGCAGGCTAAGTCCACAAACTCTAGCAAGAAGAGGGCCCCTGCCACCCAGACTAAACCGAAACGGAAAAGGCGTAAGGCGCCGAACATCACCGAGATCTCCCCAGATGATGCCGAAGAGAATGTTAAGTCGGAGAAGCCATCAGCTGACCCTGTTCTGCCCGCTGCTGGTCTGAAATGCTGCGGCAACGGTTCAACAAGCAACTTGTCCGACGCCAGCAGCGCAGCAACGCAGTTCAGATCACAAGAGCTGGCGAGCACAGTGGCTGCGGTGAGTGGGGCCTACGCCTGTACTCCTGTACTCCTGCACCTTGCTAGGCAGCATATGCATGGGGTAGTGCTTGACTACCACTGTGTTGCGTGCTTGTGTATGCTTATGCGTGGTTGTGAATGGTTACGCATGCTTATGCGTGGTTGTGCATGCGTATACGTGGATGCTGTAAGTCAACAAATATTCGGTGCATATCTGTTTTCGCCAATATTCGGCCTGAGCATTTTGGTCCGAAAATTTATTCCGGTGGAAATTTTGTTTTGCAAGGTACAGTGTGACAGTGTATACAGGCAGCAGTAGTACAGGCTGAAATGTCAATGCTCCCAAAGGTGGTTTAGTCCTGGGAGGCCGAAATTTACTTTCCGAAAATTTGTCGACTTACAGTACGTCATGGAATATCTGGGCATGCATAATTGCATGGGTATGCATGATTCTGCATGGTATGCATGATTCTGCATGATATGCATTAGTATGTGCATGGTTATGTAAGATTATGCATAGTGCATGAACATACGATGCAGAAAGCATACTCACGCATCAGGCGCTCGTGTATCTAGCACTCGTCTGTCCTATCGTCAGCTACAGTACTTGGGGATTGCGAAGAACTGGGGATCAGCCTCCTAGTCTAGACCGCTCATATTGTCATGTATTACAGTCTGTGCACAAATGAATCAACACAACACTGCATACATGGGCATGCTGTGCTTGGTGAAATCCCAGCCTCTTAAATCCCAGCCTCTTCATACTGTGGCACTTGACAGTACACGTACTGTATCTAGCAACTTTTTCACCCTGAACCACCGGAGACAAGAGACGTTTTGCTGTATCTAAATATTCATGCACTGGACCAGGACTGCTCATTACTGAAGTCTCTTGCCTGCCTGGCTACTCGTATCACTTAGCTTTGGTAGGTGTTTTGAGTACACGGTATTGACATAGTATGCCATCTTGTGTTGTGTGAGAACACTGCCAGGCGTAATCATTTGGCAATATTATTGTCAGGGCGTGTGTGCACTGTTAAAGGACGGTGTTGTATCAGTGCTCCTATATGTCTCTAGTCACCAGGGCTTAGCTAATATCTGTTTCAAGTGCCCGAGCTACCAGCCTTACACGTTGCTAGTCTGAAATAGATAGCTGGCTGCAGGATGGCACAATGAATTTTTTTCATTTTGTTAGGTACCTCCTCCCTTACGTTCTACAACCTTATCCAAGCTGGCCTGCATGCACTCTCGTACTCATCTTCTGTCTCCTTTTGTTCCCTTTTTCGTACTCAACAATTTAGACTTTATTTGAAGGATTCTGCAAAACTAAATGGTTATTTATCATGCATCATCCAGTGGAATTTGTGCTCAGTTGATTTTTCGAAGGTCAATCCAAGGAAATTGAATAATCGTTCCATATTAGTTAAGCTCTAATGCTAATTGAAACCTTTTTGGTTGTTTGTTATGTACCACCCATTGGTCAACATCATCAAGTCATTATTGTTATTGGAAAAAGCCTTGGAGGAAGACCAGACTAAAATATGAACAAGAAGCTCTTGTGCGCATGCGCAATACATAGAGAGAGAGAGAGAGAGAGAGAGAGAGAGAGAGAGAGAGAGAGAGAGAGAGAGAGAGAGAGAGAGAGAGAGAGAGAGAGAGAGAGAGAGAGAGAGAGAGAGAGAGAGAGAGAGAGAGAGAGAGAGAGAGAGAGAGAGAGAGAGAGAGAGAGAGAGAGAGAGAGAGAGAGAGAGAGAGAGAGAGAGAGAGAGAGAGAGAGAGAGAGAGAGGAGAGAGAGAGAGAGAGAGAGAGAGAGAGGAGAGAGGGAGAGAGGGAGAGAGGGAGAGAGGAGAGAGGGAGAGAGGGAGAGAGGGAGGGAGGGGAGAGAGGGAGAGGGAGAGAGAGGGAGAGAGGGAGAGAGGAGAAAAAGAGAAGACACCACCTGCCCCAGTCACCAATGCCACCGTCTGTTGGAGTGTCAACGGTTTCTCCCATGTCACGGCACGACACTGAAGCTGGAATGTCGCCTGAACCTTCGCTACGCTCCGATTGTTCGCCACTCGTGCTGAGGGCTCCCAGCCTTCTCTCCGTGAAGCCGTGAGTAGCAGCCAGTTGGTTGTCTTGGCCAAAGGTTTTATGATCTACAGCGTGTGTTCTCCAGTTGTAGCTTTTTTTGTGAATAATTCCTTGTTTCACTCTCCTTGGAATTGCTTTCCCACACTTATATTTGTGTGTTTCTTGCATGTCTACTAATGTCTAATTCCAGATCAGCTAGCCCTGCAAGTAATTTAACAGACTCACCAGTTGTGGTGAAGTCTGAGTTTCCTGATGACCAGGGGAAGGGTTCCAGCTTGTTTCCAACTCCAGCGGAGATGAATGGCCCCACATTGTCGTCAATGCCATCCTCGTCATCGGGCTACAGCACCTTTCTGGCCAGCAGTCAAGAAGGATCTAACAGTTCTTCTCACCAGCAACCCAGTCTTCGCAGTCTGCTTACTTCACAGCAACAGCAGCAACTGCAGCACCAGCTTCCGCAACAGCAGCAACTGCAACACCAGCTACCGCAACAGCAGCAAGTTGAATCGCAAGCTCGGATACTCCAGGACCAAATGCTGCAGTTGCAACAGCGTGAGCTGCAGCAGCAGCAGGAGCAGGAACTTCAGCGAGCAATGCAGCAGCAGCAGCAGCGACAGCACCAAATAGAAAAGCTGCAGTATAGCAATGGGGTTGGCGTCACGGACGAAGACTTGAAGCAGCTACAGTCACAACTTGGCCTGGGGACTGCTACTGCTCAATGCAGTGGGTTGCACCCGTCTCTACAACAACCAGAAGGTATTAACTTCAATGTGGTTGTGTTTGTGTGTGTGTGTGTGTGTGTTTTTGTTTCTTCTTTTTTTTGGGGGGGGGGGGGGTATATGAAAAACCCTACAACAAAAACTAGGGCTGAAACGAATATCCTGAATATTCGAACACTCGTTCGTTTAGCTTCGCAGAAGGAACATTCGTGAGGTGACAACAATATTCAAACTGAAATTTTTCTTGTTCCCGATATGGAATGATCCTGTTAGTAGAGTGGCTTAGACCATGGTGTTATTGGTGCTGCTACTCTCACAGCCAACACTGCTGCTTTTGCTGCTGGTGTTGCTGCTGCTTCTGCTGGTATTGCTACTGCTGCCGTCATTGCTGTTGCTCTCATTGCTTTTGCTGCTGTTATTGCTGTTGCTGCTGGTGCTGCTGCTGCTGCTGCTGCTGCTTTTGCTGCTGGTGGTGCTGCTGGTATTGCTACTGCTGCCTCTGCCACTGCTGCTGCCGTCATTGCTGCTGCTGCTGTCATTGCTGCTGCTGCTGTCATTGCTGTTGCTGCTGTCATTGCTGTTGCTCTCATTGCTGTTGCTCTCATTGCTGCTGCTCTCATTGCTGCTGCTGTCATTGCTGCTGCTGCTGTTGATGCTGCTTGTGCTGCTACTGCTGCTGTTGTTGTTTTTTTTCTGCTGCTGCTGCTGCTGCCGTTGGCGATGCGGTTGATGCTGTCACCGCCAACACTGCTGATGCTGTTTCTGATGCTGCCGTTGGTGATTCCGCTGCTGATGATCTTGCTCTTGCTGCCCTTGCTGCTGGTTGGTGCATTCACTATCTCTAAATTATGAATTTTGAATTGGCTGCCTGAAGCATCTGTAGATTAAAGAAGATGGCTGGATATCTGGCCAATGGCATGTTGTGATGTAAACGCAATAGCTTCCTGTTTTAATATGCTCGTATGTGAGCAGCTAACAACGTGCCTCTGTTTCGATCATATCTTTTATCCAGCTTTGGGCAATGTGTCTCTACCGTTGGACTTTGGTGTGAGCTCTGCATCGGCACCCACATCGCATGGTGTTCCGTCTAGCGCTGGACAGACTTCAGTGACATCAGATCACATGACCGGACCTAATGAACAACAGCTGGCATCAGGTGAGCTATGAACAATGTATTCTGTATGTCATGTGACAAGCCGTCATGGCAACCACGCGGAGCTGTCATGACAACCACGCTGAGCTTGTTGGTTCAATTCTGTGTGTTGAATTTTGTTGATTTGATTAATTTGGACAAGTATGGTACCGTTTTTTTCTCTAATAAAAGCCCAGTGCTCTTATTATTTCAGTGATGGCTGTAGACGCGCTACTTTTAGAGATTGTGCTATTATTGGAGAATGTGCTTTTAATTGTTTGATGCTCCAGTATCAAGCCAACTCCAGTATCAAGCCAACTCCAGTATCAAGCCAACTCCAGTTTATATAGGCATAAATGGACCATATCAAGACTTATTTTCTCAACCCTAAACTCAGGAAAGGTGTCATAACTGATGTTTCACAATAACATGGACACCGAGAAGGAAGTAGTTGACCGAAAACCTCCTTACAAATATGTGCATGGCATAGTGCACTGCTGTTATATATTATGCAGTCAACTCAGTCTGCGGACAGAACTGTTCCGTCCTTTGTGGACTCATCAGCGCAGCACAGTTAATATAATTTGTTGCATACTCCAATTGTGGCCTGTGCTACTATCAGAGGCTGTGCTCTTATCATTTCCAACAACCCTCACCCCCGGTCGTTACTGCCGCAGACTGGGCTAGTAGTAGGTCTGGCTGTAGTATTGGAGACCTGAGCTGCCTGGGCTTTCTGGGCTTTCTGGGCTTTCTGGGCTTTCTGGGCTTTCTGGGCTTTCTGAGCTTTTATTAGAGAAGATATAGTAAATGCTTTCTTTTCAATTGGTTTTGCATGTACGGAGTGATCAGTGGAGCATTTAGCCAGGTGCAGCACAATAAGTCAATAACTTAGACGAAGAGGGCTCGAGTCTCTCAAGTGGAGCATAGGGGTGTTGAGATGCTCAGTGGCATAATTGTTTGTATGCTACTGAGTATGCTGTTCCGGGAAGACGGTTGCTTCAGCCTCATGCCATGCCGTGGGTGCTAACAGTATCTGCTCACGTTATAATGATATGCACGTCAAGTCGGTGGGAAAGTGCGAGCTCCAGTGTGTGAAACAGATGCTTTCCTGTGTGTTGACCGCCACCATCTAAGAAAAAGGCCTGTTGTTTTCGTCTCTGTTTGTTGCTCTTGTGCGGTGGTGTGGTGTGCTGTAACAGAACTGTATTCCTTACTCGACCCAGCCAATGTGGCCAATATCATGGAGAGGTCGCGCAATGCTGAAGCTGTTCTCAATACATCTATGCAGGCTGACGCCCAGCCAACATCACGCCAGCTGCTAGGTGGTAACTCGCGGACAGGAGAGATGGATATGTACATAAGACAGCAGCTGGCGGCACAGAGGCAGCAGCTGCAGTCCGAATACTTGCAGCCAGGTGTGAACTCACAAAGTCACGCTCATCTCCGTCAACCCGAGAGAATAAGCCAGGACCACCGAACGGAGCAACTCGAACGGGCAGAACAACTTCTACAGCTACTCCAGTCACCTTCTAGCGAGCACCAAGTCCATTCGCACTCCGCTGAACAACGACAACAACAACAACAACAACAACAACAACAACAACAAGAACAACAACAACAACACCAACAGCAGCAGCAGCAGCAGCAGCAGCAACAGCAGCAGCAGCAGCAACAGCAGCAGCAGCAATGGGAACAACAGCAGTACAATTTGTTGCTAAGTTCCGTTGGAGCAAGTGGTCACGCTTTTCCATCTCCGACTGCAACTGCAGCAGGCGCACGACCAGACGCGTATCTGGCTTCGGCGTTCAATAATCATCTAGCGACGAGGCACAGAGGTGGCTTTGCCGCCGCTTTACCTCGTGCTGGGACTGGTCAAGACCTGGGTGTGGGCATGGCGGGATTGCAGACGGACATTGCATCAACCCCTTTCCAGCATCACGGGCATGTTCATGAAGCTCCTCTTGGACTGAGCGACATTGAAGTTGAGCGGCTGGGTGCAGAGGCACTGCAAGGACATGAGACGTGGAGCAGCACTGCTCCTAACACTGGCATGCTACACATCGCCAATCCGGGACAACCTAGCCTCTCTGACCTTGGCATGATGCAGCAGCAGCAGCAACACACTACTAATCCAATAGTGCATGCAGGTCAACAAGTTCATGATAATCAACTACTGCCACAACATCTGCAACTTGGTCAAATAGCACATAATGCTGCGCTTGCAAATCCTGTGTATGATCCGCAGTTACTGCACTCAACAAACAACATACAGTATGAGTCACTCCAGCAGCAGCTAGCGGCTACCAGTCCCAGCGGCCAGGGCTTGGGAGCAAGTAAGGCTGCAATGTTCCAGTCTCCCGGCACCAAGACATAGCTCACGGGTGAGTAGACTGTTGAGCGGACAGCACTGTGTGTGTGTGTGTGTCTGTGTGTGTGTGTGTGTTATTCTTAGTGGTGTACACGGATAGTCGGGTACCCATGCTACCCGTGAGGACCTCGGGTAGACGGGTACAGAATAGTCCTCGAAAACCCGAAGTCGCAGATCACATCATGTACAGTGCACGTGTACAAATTCATGTAATACTCTGCATGTCTACCCAGTGTGTAAGGGAAGGGGTGCATTGTGGTGTTACCATGGAAACATTACCCGACCAGGTACCCGTGCTACCCGTGGAAAACTACCCGAACCCGATACCCGAAGAAAATGCTACCCGACTCAGCCCTAGTTGTTTTACTCATCAGTAGGTGCATACATTTATTTCCCGAGTTTAAGCCGGACTTTGACCATTCAAAATTCACCCGAAAAAGGGGTTGCGGCCTATACTCCGATGGTCAAAGTAATGGTGATGAATGGTATAGCTGTCTGTGTTTCGTGGCAAAAAAATGGGGCCTGCGGCTTATAGTACAGTACGGCTTATACAGTCCGACCTCGCATAACCGCACACATCCGTTTTCCAGAAAAAATATATGGATAGGCGAGGGAACCGGATAGTCGAACACACATACTGTAGGTGTGCATGGCATATGCTGTAGATCGGTCACCAATGATTTTCTTCCGGATGGCGAGGGATCCGGATAAACGAGGACCGGATAAACGAGGTCTGACTGTACTCGGTTTAATACGGTAGCTGTGGATCAGAGTAGTGAGTGTTATAGCTTTGCCGATCAGCTCACTTAGTACCTCTGTACCGCTTCCCGACCTTCCATTCTACTCTACAGCCAACCCTGGGAGAGTTCGCTGAATGCTGAATGAAAACCGAGTGATGCGTCAGAGGCTCTGTCCAGAGATGTAGTCCATTCCTGTAGGTCATCATCATCTGTGCTCAAGTCCCACATAGTCACATTAGGCGGGAGAGAAACATTGTTTTCAAGTCATGCATATTATGCTGGTCTTTCTAGAGCGTGGCGGCAGTGCGCGCGAGGTCAATGTTTTGATTTCTCTTTTCTCGACGTACACGTGCGTGTGTGTGTGTGTGTGTGTGTGTGTGTGTGTGTGTGTGTGTGTGTGTGTGTGTGTGTGTGTGCGTGTGTGTCTGTTTGTTCTGTATTCTGCCCAGGACAGTCTAGACAATGATGTTGCGAATTTCCGCCTTGTTCTAGTCGTTTGTCCAGTACCGGACTTCCCCGGTGTTCGTCTAGCTCTGGACTCCCCAAACGTTGGTCCAGCTCTAGACTCCCCGAACGTTGGTCCAGCTCTGGACTCCCCAAACGTTGGTCCAGCTCCGGACTCCCCAAATTTTGATCCAGCTTTGGACTTCCCAAATACTTCGTCTATCTCTGAATGCTCTATCTAATCCTGTCACTAGGTCGTCTAGTGACTTAGAAATGACTGGTCAGTGTAGAAAGTATTTGATTAATTCTTCTTTTCATCGGCTGCCGTAGCCTTTGTCGTCGTCATCGGCGTCGACTTTGTACATTTGGATCATCGTTGTTGATTTGACGTCACTGTCGCAGTCGTCTTCGTTGATGTAATTTTCGTCGTTCTTTCCATTCTAGTTGGAGTTGATTTTTACGGCCAGAGCCGATTGATGCTTGATGAGACACTCTGCTACGCAGAACTGAGTTTCGTTGTACGAGAGTATTTCTTCCTCTATTTTCATTTCTTTGATGTCCATAGTGATATTGGTACTATCTCCGTTCAATGTTTATGGCTGGCTTAGTACGCAGCAGCAGCAGCAGCAGCAGACAGCGCTATCCCCCCCTCTCCCAAGTGATAATCCTTACCCACTAGTACAGAAACTGAGATATTAACCGACCGGAAAGCGAATTTCTCATCACTATCTACCTTATCTCCTGCGCCTACTCGATGATTACCCACTGGGCAAACTATACCATCATCGTGTTGGCTCTAAGATTGAAGACCCGCCGCCATTACTATCTCCCACTCAGTGGATTTGAAGCTGCAAAAAAATATACCTTGCTATCGATCGAGAGCAATATTTCTCCTGCTCTATTCCTGGCGCATGCTCTGCAGTGAGTGCTTGCTTTCAAACAAATCCTTACACTATCTTTCATCTCGGCTTTTTGTCAGTATACTGATGATTACTAACAGCTGCAACTATCGCACTACAGTCAACTATTTTCCTTGCTCCAGCTGTGCAGCTTGAATTCACAATCAATAGGAGTTGGATCCAATTTTCTAGGAAGATCACTGTTCTGCATTTAAATCATCCACGCACCATCGCAGCTGCACCATTTTGTTTTGTATACTGTCTCTCAGCTCATCACTTCACGCTGCCTTCTAATTCTTCATTGACTTTGCACGCAATTGAAAGATTGAAAATCTATCCACCATCACGACTATCTTGGTGAAAAATTAGGCCTCAAACGGTCACGGTTAACTGCTAAGCTAACGGTCGGTTTAACGGCTATAACCTATAAGCCACGGCAATCCTGCGGACTCTTTTTTAACCGTATATTTGACTATACTCATTCAAAAAAATTAATGTACCCTATTCAGTACAACGCACACATGTACATTCTCTTGCATGCTCATTCATACATGTACATACTCTCACACCAAGAGACCAGATATGCTAGATATGACCGAGTTGACAGTCCAGAAATTGCGTACGTGTGCGACAGCCTGCGAAAGTGCATACTTTGCAACGACCTGATACTTGAAAAATTGACTGAAAAGTTACTGCATAACCGTTAATTCTTCGTATAAACCGGTCTGCAACCGGTTAATCGGACTAACCGTTTGAGCCCTATGAAAAATGCTTCCCATGTATGGAAGTGTGCACTGCGTTGGCTCTGTGGCTAGTTGGACACCGGGTGCACCCTCGCTGGCCCCCGTCTCCTCAGTGGAGCTGCTCCGGACACTACAGCCATAATAATATGCATCAGGGGAACGAGCACTTGCAAGCTTGCTCAGTATGGATTGGTGGTGTCATGAGCCGGAGGGATATTGAACCAGGGGCAGGGAGTCTTATACTAGTAAACGGTTTAACCCAGGTTTATACGATTCCCTGATTTGAACAGGGCAATCCCGACCTTTTTTTAATGAATGGCAAGTACAAATAATTGATTAGGCATTTGGTACGAAATCTACAAAATTTAATGTTAAAGAGGAGAGAGGGCCACTCGAGGCGAGAAGTAACAGGCATCGACGAAAGAATGGTGGCTTCAGATGGCATGCAGCGATCTGTGCGCCCGAAGTCAGTGTGCTGGTATGGTTTCGTAACAACTGTTAGAGTGTTGTTTTTCCTCACCAACTATTATTAATTTTTAGTTACTAGTACCGGTATTTCAGAGTCGGCACATTACACGATGTTGTGTTCAATGCAAGTCAGATGTGCAACAGGCTGAAGGAATCTGGGCGCAGAGATTATTATTTTAAAAAAATTTCATTCTGTCATTTCATGCACAACTGCAATGCTAAAAATTGCTACGGTTAGTTCGACTCTCTGTATCATTCTACGTGTGGCCTGTGGTCTTCAGGACTCTGCATGATTACGGTAGTGTAGATTCCTTCATTGTAGTCTATACTGATGTATCAGCTCGAGTCGATCGAATGCTAACACACGTGTGCATGTGGCGAGAGTCGAGTCGGGGATGATCACGTGGCATTTTTGACTGTACGTGACTCAACAATTCTTGGCATCAGCCTTCGTTTACCTGTTTACCCCAGCCTAGGACTCAGCCGGAATGCGGCAGGAGACGTGACCTTCTGACCTCCGATTTCCAAGACTAGTGATCATGGTGATGGATGGCGAGACGTTCGACTGTAGTCATCAACGATATCCATGATAACGCGTGGATCCCCTTTGGCTTTAGCCATTACTTGGTTTAGGACTTAGATTTATACGTCCTGGGATTGTCTGAACGGACGATTTAGGAATAAAAATTTGGTTTCGGAGGCAAAGGGATAATGATACGCCAGACTGCTAGCTCGGTGAGACTGAGAGCGATGCCGCATGACTATTATCCTGTGCGCGTGTCCTGTCCTTGTCAGATCTAGCACTATTCAATAATCCATCATGACTGCAGTGCTAACCGTGGTAGGCCTCGAGTCGTATCCTACAAGGGCCGAGTTCTGGTATGCACGGTTCATGCTGATGACGTTAGTTCATGACAATCCTGTCGTTTTCCAACAGCTGTGATGTCGAAATGTTCAGGTCCTGTCATTGAGCGATCCGCCTCCTAGACGAACGCAGCATACGAATACGGACTACCGGCATAGCGGCGACAGAATGCGGCATGTGCACTGCAGATCTTCAAACTTGCAAATGACTGGTCAGTCCCATGATCAAGCTCAAGGACATGATACTCACAAACTAGTTGTATGGGCTCACACTCACAGATGCTGGAATGACTAAGGTCTAGCATGGCACTCACGCTTGCCACTGTCTCCATTACCAACTGTTTTTCTTCCATTGCAATAAATTCCTGGACTGTGAGTTGTTTGTTTGCCGCAGTGTCTGACGCGCCGAACCGATATTTCATTCTCGAACTGGACGCCTTACAAGGCCAGCCTAGTATGGTTTGTCTGTAGATATCCACCTGTACAGGCTGTAGCACATTCTCGAGTGTGACTGTGTTTACGAATTGCCTTCGACTGGGAATTGTTCGCGTTCGCACTTCGGTGAACCATAGTGTCCATGACGTAGAACCATTCACTAACGAATTACGTGACGATTTTACCGACGTCTTGTCTGTACCATTGCTGCCATGGCCGATATACGACATTTCGACAGACGGTCGTAGCTCGGAAATCGAATGCAACTTCCTAATTTCTTATCAGCACAAAGTACTTCGCTGGACATTTGCAAAGCGAATGATCCTCTCCGTAGCATTGGACCGCACGGATAACCAGGATAACTGGTCCAGCTCCCACCCCATTCCACCCCTTTCCCACGTCTAGCGCGGTGGCACGAACGGAAGATGCAAACTGACGAGAGTGCATAAATATGCCGAACCAGCGACCAAGACAACTCTTTGCCATCACATCTCTCGATTCGCAAATAAATCGAATGTCCATTCCGAGGGTCATTTGCCATTGTCTTGCTTCAGCAATACTACAAGAAGCTTTGATTTCTCATCCAGGAATCCTGACCTGACGTTTGGAGGTTCCATCTCAAGACTGAACACACTACGCCGGCATTGTTTCTCCAACCAGACTGTCGGCGTCCTGGAGGTGTCACGTGTTTTGGAAGGCTGAGATCAGGCCAGGTATCTAAAGACAAGTAAAGACTAAACCGCCGTGTCCGTGTGGCACTGCACTACTACTAGTACTACTGCACAGTGTGCAGGTACTAGGTGAGGTCCAGGTGTGGACTTCTTGCATATATGCACGCTGCCTTTCCCTGTCACCACCACCAGGTGAGAATCGTGATCCAGTTCGCTAGCCGCCAAAGTCTCGAGCGAGGTGTGACAGAGGGACGGTAGCACTTTTCGCCATAGGCAAAGCACGGGTCTACCGACTTGATTCTCAGCGAAACTGCAGTATCCTGCCGAAGAGAGTCGGTGTGAGCAAGCAGTTCAAACATTTTGAGTCAAGCCAATTTCAATTTCCAGAGGAAAAGGCTGCTAGTCTTGTAAGGAGACGCCGCACCAAACAAGGACAGGCTAAGCAGTGGTTTGCAGTCCGAGCTCACGCGGCAATACGCTGACGATAAGCCTTCACAGAGTCTGGACGCAGCTCGGTAATGGCGACCAAGAGAGCTCTTGCGAAGGGTCAAGATTGGAAACGGTAGGCTATCTATGTCCTTTTCTTTTTTCTTCATTCTATGCTCTCCGGATTGTTTGTTGTGAAATAAAACACCTCCATTACGAGCCCAGCCGCACACGGCTGTTAGCCACATTGGTACGGTTATCAGCGCAATGATTGTATGTCGAATATCCGGCTGATGCAGAGTCAGTGAGTCTGCCAGTCAACCACCGTGATGTCAAGTAAAATCCGATCAATCGAGCACAACAGCACCTGTGCTGCGCAGTGAACTGAGCTCTGCTTAGCTTGCAAGGCTGGATTTCACTTTCCACCGCTTTAGTGATGCATGCGCTAAGTCTATGCTGCTCATAAGAATTAGGAATGTGGGCTGCCCGTAAGGCCCTTTCTGTGGGCAATGTGCGCAAACAGAATAATCCTGAGAACAAGACAAAAATTAATGTAGCTCTATGAATGCAGTGGGAAGACCTGAAGAAGGCTGAATGCTGTCTCCATTCTCCACAAGTGAATGATCACACAGTGTCTAGGGGCACGCATAGTATCAGCATGATCAAGTACTTTTGTGTTTGTACTGGGTGCGGTATTGACCAGTGAAGCAGCAGTGTGTAAAGTAATATAGTTCACAGACTCGTGTTCATCATGGTTCATGGTGCCCGGGTACAGGCTCAGTAGGGCCGGCACTATACACGGTGGACGTCGAATCTCATCTGGCCAGTTCCAGCTTTTGCGTATGTATCGATTTGTGCCCGTTTACATGTACTTCAGTATATGCATAATATGTACATATGTGTGTGCCTATGTGTGTGTGTGTGTGTGTGTGTGTGTGTGTGTGTGTGTGTGTGTGTGTGTGTGTGTGTGTGTGTGTGTGTATGTGTGTGTGTGTGTGTGTGTGTCTGCATGTACACTACACAGACAACAGTCCTGCCCTGTGGTACGGAGCAGTGACATAGAGGCTAGAAGCCAGAGCGCTGCCGGTGGTGCACCGCTACTATTGGCAAGGAAGACTGCACAGTCAGCAAGACCTGCTGTGCCAAAGAGAACACCTTTGCCTGCACCACGGACGGTAAGTTGCTGTTCTATTTTAGTTACGAAACGAGCCGAGGTGCTCAATAACAAGGAAGCGAATGAAGGTAAAGGCGGTGACGCCTGTTGGGAATTACCAAGTAAAACAAGAATAAATTCAACTCGGAATTTCGGAATTTCACCATAAAACAAGAATAGAAATAAATTACTTCCTTGTGAAGAAAAGGGAAAGAAACGTTTGATAGAAGGAAGTGTCTACTTGATTGTGTGGATTTGTGTCTTTGCATGCGAAGGTAAAGATTGCGAAACTATTTTCACCGCCTCCAAATTACCGCTAGAAATAAATGAAAATAAAATGAAGATGCCAAGAAGTACGCGGGGAATCAAGCCACATTATCCTCAGCCCCACAATGGTACAGGACTGCTTGTAAACACAGACAGTTCTTTCCGGGCAAAGAAAATTGTATCATCCCTTAGGCAGCAGGCAACCTTTTCCCTGTCGCAAGTTTCTGATGATGTTGCTTCGACCGGCCCTCCTGATCGGGTGTGGGAAAGCTCTTGTCTCAGGCGAGGAGCACGTTTTGAGCAGTGGAATACTCGACTTTCTTATGCCATGCCAGCTGTATCCGACTTCTCTGTGCTTTATCGTAGTTTCTATGATGTGTGAAAGTTTGTTTTCTCTAACTTGGAGTTTCATGCTAAGCATTCCTCAGGCAACTCTTAACGTAATAATGTTGCCTGAGTATCGCATGGCGTGACACTATGGGTTCCTGAACTGAACAAATTGCTCTGACTTCTGTGTTGGCTGACTGTGTGGAAGGAGGATTGTGTTTGATCAATGTGCCTGCTTATGATAATGCAGTGTCTGTATTGTATAACTGTTCGTAGAAGGACTGTATTTGGTATCGATGTGCCTGCATATAGACAATGCAATGTTCATGCTGTGTGACTGTTCGCAGGAGGACTGTGTGTATGTGCGAGAGGATGAGGTGCACAGCCCTACAACTGGTCGTAGACTTCCATTGTCGGGACAACATGATGCGGTGAAGTCAACAACACTTCCATCCAGGGCTACGCCTGCTTCACCCGGTGGCCAACAACCAAGTGCAACAGCCAAGAAAACGCTGAAAGCTGCAGCAGAGGAAGGAAACCATTACTATCGTGTAAGTTGATTTCTTTACCTGTATCTTAATTTCTCGTTGCTTGCATATTTTGATTTGCATGAAAAGAATTAATAGAAATCCGTGTCAGGGAATACGAAGTCTGATTCTAAAACTTGCAATGAAACTCGACGCACAGGCAGTAGTAGTACTTCAGAAGTAGTAGTATTCTTTTATTTTCCATCGGAAGCCTCAACAGTGATGAACACGACTCTTAAGAGGGCCTATAACAGAGTAGAGGGGTGTGGGGTGAGAAAAATATTAACGAGAGAGCTTGGAAGCTCAGGGCCCTACGCTTTGCTTTTTTGCCTTGATGACCAAGACAAAAAAAGCATAGGGATGTTATAAATTCTTTAAAAAATTCCTTTTTTTTAAGACATAACATG